GAAAAAGAAAAAGAAAAAAAATGAAGAAGAAAAAAAAAAAACAAGGTATATAATAAATGTTAAAATTTATTGACGTCCTATGCACAGAAAACGCGTGTAGTGGGTGTATATATTATTAATCAATAATTTATTTAGTTAAGTTTGTTTATTATGAGTATTCGGAAAATGATCGAATAAAATGCGGTAACGATGAGATAACCGTTATCATTTGTTCGTAATATTTTCGAAATGTGATGTATTGCAAATTTGTCTTTATAAAGAAAARAAAAAAAAAAAAACAAAGAAGAAAAAGAAAGAGAACATTTTATATTTTTTTTCTTCTTAATAATAAATTTTGCTTATTTTTTATTTGGGAAGTTGAAATATTGAAACAAAACGAAGAAACAACATTGGATTATCTTGAAAAAGTAGTCGCATACTTTTTTTTTTATTAATTTATCATTAATTTTTGTGTTCCTTGTTTAATGCGTAATCGTAAAGATTAAAGTTTTTTTTTTTTTGCCACTCATCACGATATTGTGTTTTTGTGTTTAATACGTTCGAAATATTGGCTTAAAACAAGAAGATACAATAGAATAATATATATATATATGTAAACGCGTTTCGTATATTTTGAAATTAAAAAAAAAAAAAGAAACAAAAAAAAAACAAAAAAAAAAAGAAGTAGTTCACTCTATAAAAATGGATTCGTTTTACTTCTCTGTGTGATTTTTCTCACTCTGTTGATACGAAAAGATAAATAAATAAATAAATAAGTAAAAAAATAAATTCATATATACAATTTTTTTGACGAAATTGTTGAAATGGCGGCGATATGCGAGAACGTGAATGAATAAAACTATTTTATGGTCGAAAACAAAGAAAGTAGTTGTACTATTTGTTATAATAATACCGCATGATCAATTCCGTGATCTCTTAAGAAATTTTGATACACTTCCTCAACTATATATATATATATTAATTAATTTTAGTTATTAAGAATGAATAATAATAAAACTGTGGGCTAAACCCCATTTGCGCAACATTATATTTTATTTTTTCTATCTCTGGGCATAGATTATTATTATATTATTATTATTATTATTATTATTATTATTATTATTATTATTATTATTATTATTATTAATAATATTTTAAGCATTTCCTATAAAACTCCGTGTCTATCTCTCTCAATCTCACTCTGACTTCTTACTCAGGAATGACGTTATGTTAACAAAAATATAAATATATTAATATACATTTTGTTAATAACCAATCGCCCTGACGCGATATCTTTAAATTATTCTATACAAATATTTCGATATTTTTATGTCATATTAAAATTTTCCAAAAAAAAAAAATGCTAATATTAATTAATGGTAAGAGATAATATAACACACGTATCGAGAAAATTAAATAAATTATCGTCATTTGTTTGTTTTTTTTTTCTTTTGTTTTTTTAATCAAAATTGTGATAAAGTATCAAAGATACAATTCATAAATAATAATAATAATCTATATATATAGCGTTGAATAAAAGTTATATTTATTTGTTCCCTATAAATAACGTGCATGTTCCTTTTTTTTTTTCTTAAACAGAATTAAAATAAAATTGCATTTTGTTGAAAGAGTTGAACAAGCAGATAAAGTAGAAAACACAAGGACATCGTTGACTACTTATTTGAGAATAGATACAAAGTATTACAAGTAAGAAGAAACCTTCCTTATCAATGCCATTGATTTATATAATCGTAGTCTAAAAATATCATTGATTAATATTATTGAAAATATAAAAAAGAACGTAACGCTTTATATATTTAAAAAAGTATTTAAATAACATTATCTTTGAAAAGTTAACACTTTATAAGCATTAACATTGCTAATTCACAGTTTATTTAATAATTATTTTTTTTATTTTTTTTTTTGTTAGTAATACATGAATATTTTGTTCAATATTTTATTTCATATTTTTGGTTGTTTTTATTATAATATTATCTCCATTTTTAATTCTATATTTCAGTAATATAAAAACATTAAAAGTGATATATTTTTAATATTAATATATGATTTAATCGTAATGCATATAAATTATATTATAAAATACACATTAATTTACATATTAATGCATATAACGAAGACTTTTTTTTATAGCATTAGCATCGCTTTGTTCTTTCAATTGAAATAAATTATCTTCCCATGATGCCTCCTTATTAGCACATTTTAAAAGTGCAACTCTGATATCTTCGCTCGATATGGTTTTAGGTAAATGCACAAAATTCATGTCCTTAAGAATTTTAATCATTATTATAGTCAAACCTTTATTGTATGTGCCAAATTCTGTACTTTTCCAATCCCAAGGTAAAAGATAATGATAATTCATCCAATAACTTTTGTTCAAGAAGAACATCGAATTATCTTCAATTGGAAACCTGTGAAACATCGAATAAATATTTTTATTTGATTTATTATTTTACTTATATAAAATGTATCAAAAAAATACGTGATAAAATTTTTAAGAATAAATTCCTCATATTATGTAGAAATGAAAAATAAGTTCCGTCAATATGAATCAGAAAATATATCATTTCAAAGTTACGAAACTTACAAGCATAATCTCAATGTACATTAGTTATTTTTATGCACAAATTATGTGTGATTAAAATTCTGTTGATATTACCTTGTAAAATGAAATATTCAAAACGTGCCTACCTTCTAACAGTATACAGTTCCATCGATTTATTTCATTCCAACCATGTTTCGATATAATCGTAATTATGGTAATTCAAAATTGAAGGTATTGTAAATATTCAATTAAACAAAATATTTCGAAGACATAGTTATATATTTGAATATTATATTATAATTAATGTTAAATATATTTCATTACAGTAAATAAAATATACGTCATTAAAATATATTGATTGAGATCATGCTTGATAGTCTAATAAATTTTTGAAATTATTTCTCGACCAATGTTGATTTAACGAAGCACTTTCTATGAAGTTAAACAGTTATTTATATTATTGACAAAAAAAAATAATAAAAAAATGACTACCATTACTGATATAACTTAGAAACGAGGTCAACAAATAGCATATATGATAATCAAAACATTTGAAATTATTTTTGCTTTTCTTTCTCATTTCTGCAGTGAGTTTAACATTTTACTATACATCCTGTATATAATAATTTTTATTATAAAACAGTTAAAAAACGATAGATATATCATAATCAAAATGTTCGAAAGTTCAACGTGTAATATCCGAGATATTACAAAATGGAGAACTTTCTAATTAGCGAAACGATTTACAGGTTAACGAGTACTTAAATTCAACTGCTACGTATACCATCGTAATCAATCATAACGGTACCATGACTCTTTGGCATATTGAAAAAAAGAATGTAAAATAATCGAATATTATAAAAAATGGCCATTAACCTATCATTCGGTTTAAAACCCCAAACCAATATGGCGCTGTTCACCATCTTTGATACGTTGCTCATTATAAATAATCGTAGAAATCCCACAATAAAAATAGAATTAACGATGGTCTCGTTCCAATATATTATAGGGATGATGATAGGAATGAATAACGTTATTACTGGGAACAAAATCCAGTAGAATCTAAAAAAAAAAAGTTATTTTTTTTTAACAACAATTATGTAAATGTATCGATGATTACGACAGTGGACTGATAAAAAGAGTTCCTATGGAGTTGAAAAGCTTTGAGCATTAAGGTTTTCTACATCGTGTTAGTTATTCAATTTATAATATAAATAATTGTGACAAAAAAAAAGTAATCGTAAAATCAATAGAAAAAGTTTCTTGATTATTAGTCCACCGTCAAAATTATCGATATAATATAATAGTTATCGTTTAATAATAAATACACCGGATGTTCAGTATATATATATATTATATGCGTTATAAATTTTTATCTCGAGAACCAATCGATATTTTTTGAAAAAAAAAATTGTTTACGCAATAGTAAAATAATTTTAATCATTCGAAAAAATAAATTGTGATTTGTTTTCCCAAATATATATATATTTTGTTCTTAAGATTAAAAATTTGTCTTATTAATTTATTTTTTTTTTATTATATTTTGCTTTATCTTTAAAACATCCGGCATATGAAATATCGAGGAAAAACAAAAAATAATACAAATAATATATAAACATTTCATACATTTTTTGTGAACAAATGGATGTATTCTCGATGTCTCGCATATCTATGTCCTGTTTTAATTCTTCTTGATTGTAAGGTGAATCTAACAAATGACTCCAAAAATAACTATATAAAAATCCTTTATGAGTTAGATAAGGATCTTTATCAGTCTTGTAAAATTTGTGATGCAACCTGTGATAGAAAACCCAATCGTACAAGGGACCCTATAAAAAAGAAAATATTGGTAATTACTTTTATATATATATATATTTTTTTTTTCCTATTGTGAAACTCACCACACCGGCAAGAGTATATACTAGGATGAGCAAATATTTAAGAGTATCGTCAACTTCAAATGCTCGGTGTGCAAAATATCTATGGGCACCTATGGTCACTCCCATATAACTAACCGATATGAGAAAAGTAACTGAAATCATTAATGTTCGTTATTTTGTTAGAAATATTATTTCACATACACATATATAGAATTATTTTTAAATAAATGACTATACTTTTAAGGATTTTAAATTCTATTGACTTTATACTATTAGTACAAAAACATCTTAATGTTAATTTCTAGATTATGTATGTAATATTACATATATACAGAATGAAAGGCACCTAATTGTATTCACCTAAATGTCTACTTTGTTGATGCCCCCATATATAAGTGAAAACAAATATAAATATTTATTACGTTACTATAATTAAATAATGCAAATATGTAAGATAATTAATGACAATAAATATTTCTAAATTATTGTATAAATGTGTGTATTATAATTTTCAAAATAGTAAAAGTAATTAGAATAATTTAATCTATCATTATTATTATTATTATTAGTTAATATAATTATTTCTATATTTCTTATATTGTTTGTATTTAATAATTGAACCAAAATAAATCTCATCAGTTATTTTTCGTAATTAAAAAAGAATGTTATATAAAAAAGAATAATACCAAATAGCACTGTCATCCATTTCGCTTCGAAAATCAATAGCCAAAGTCCATAAAAACCGAAAAAGTGAAGATGAATAAACCATAGCACTAAACCATTATTTATAGTATGCATTTTTGAAACATCTATTTCTTCAGATACTGACATCTTGTTATTGATCAATGAAATATTAACAAAAAAAAAAACAAATATATATTAAATTAACAATAATTTCAATTGAAAGATATATTAATAAAAACTTATATATTTTTACTATATTTTTTATATTATATTATATTATATTATATATACTTTATATTATAACTTTTTCTTTATTTCACGATAATAAAACTAATCGTTTAGTTTTTGTTTTAATAAAGAAAAAAAGAAGACAAATCAAATGTATTGAAACAAATTGCAATCCGTATTTCGATGATCGTCCGAAGTAACGTAAGTTCTGCGGCAAACTGAATCGAAATGAATTCAATGGAAGTGCTAATGTTCAACAAATATCGTATACCAGGTAAGTAACTTCCTTCATTTTAAAATCGCTTTGTAATCTGACATATCAAATATTTCCCAACGATCCCACAATTTATTATTTACGCTGGTGCCGCGACTGAATGAATATAAATCGTCTATTTATCGAAAAATATTATAATTATTGCACTGTACGTTATATATGTTGATTTCTATTAGAATTTGATTTTCATAATAATTAATTCGATACCGATACAATGAGTCGACATTATTAAATACTTGAATAAATAATATTAAATGTATCGATTACTTTTTTACTTTAACAAAAGTTTTCAAATCAAAATCGTGAATTGGTGTATTATCAAATATTAAAAGTCAATTTTTTAACTGTGATAGAAGATTAATTTAAATATTCATTTTGACAAACAAAATTTTATACTTCCCTTAAATATCACAAACCTTATTTCAGATTTAAATCAAATTTTTTGTATAATTTTTTATATTATTTACATAAGATTGGGTAAAAACGATAAATTGGTGTGAGTGAAATGAAAATAATTATGTAAGTAAACATTTGTTCACCAAAATCCACAAATTAAGTTATTAGATTGTAAAAATTATTGAGGAAAATAAGCTATCGTAAAAATTGGAGGTTTTCATCATTTTTTATTTTTTTTTTGTTGGCCTCATTGTTGCACTCTTGTATTTATTTGTACGAAATTACATTTTAGTTAGACTCTTAATAATTAACGATGCAATTCTCTTTTTATATTCTGGCTTTGTAATATTTTTATACACATACAATATTATATACATGTATATATAAATTTAAAATAATTCTAATTTTTCTAGATAAAATATAAAAGAGACGGCAGGATAATAAATACGACGACAAGATTTAATTAAGTTGTAATTTTTAACGTCGACGTATTTTAAGATTATCATCATCATCATCATCACTATTATTATTATTATTATTATTATTATTATTATTATTATTATTATTATTATAACAAAGGAACTAATAATGTATTTATAAAACTTTTTTATAATCCATCGTTTGTAATTCTTGTAGATCTTCTTTAGGTATATCGGCATCACCATAACCCCATACATGGCTACCATCACCGGATTTGTTCGCCCTTCTTCGTACCATTTCCGGTGAAACGTATTTTAAATCATAGGCCCAACCAATGCGAGCGAATGCGTCGATGAATCCGGTAGTTATATTGAAAGAATAATCACCTAATTCACCAGTTTTGTAATCCCATGGAAAAACGTGATGATAATTGTGCCAGCCTTCACCTAGTGCTGCTATGGAAACTGCAATGTTTTCTACAGGCGAGATATTCCTAAAAATTAATATCATTCATTTATGTTTATTATTTTTTCATATAACAAAATTAAATATAATAATATACATTTGAAAAATAAATTATAAAAATAATTAACTTACTTGTCGTAAGGTTTCTGACCCCACATATGTGCAACACTGTTAACGAAGAAAGCTATATTGAGCGTTATGCAAAATCGAAAATTAAAACTTATCCAGAAAGATGTCCACAATGATTCAGACCAGAAATAATATGGTACGACAACTGGTAATCCAATTGCCAAAAGTGCGAACAGAGGTATGTACAATCTACATTTTAACAAACAAACAAATAAACAAGTTATAAAAAAGTTATTATATCACAATAAAATATACTAATATAATATTATATTCTATTGTTTAAATGAACATTTCTAAACTCTAATAACATTTATTAACTATTTATAGTAACCCCATTATATTAATGATAAGACATTGTAAAAAACTTTGTAAGTGCAATAAAAACCTAATTATATATAGTAACCCCATTATACTATTAATATAAT